TGGTCTCATATCTAATATAGCCTTAATTTTGTCAGGGTTGATTTCAATGCCACGTTGGTTCACTATGTAACCAAGGATTTTGCCCGATGTGACCCCGAAGATACACTTGTTCGGGTTGAGCTTCATGTTAAATTTTCTCAGAATTTAAAAAATAGAATTTTAATCGTCCATTAAAGAGTTTGGATATTGGGTCTTCACGATCATGTCGTCAACATAACACTATTTTATTACCGATTAACAATTCAAAAATTTTATTTAGAAGTTGTTGGAAAGTTGCTCCAGCATTTTTTAAATCAAAGGGCATAACTTTGTAACAATACAACCCTAGTTCTGTTACAAAAGCGGTCTTGTCCTGGTCGGCTATGTCCATCCTAATCTGGTTGTAGCTGGAGTAGGCGTCCATGAAGCTCAGCAACCCGTATCCCAAGGTTGTGTCTACCAAGCGGTATATTTTGGGAAGGGAGAAGCAGTCCTTCGAGAAGACTCTGATCAGGTCGGTATAGTTGATGCACATGCACCACTTCCCACCTGCCTTCTTCACTAGCACAGGATTGGCCACCCAGCTCTGGTAGTGGACCTCCCTAACGAAGTCTACGACAAGGAGCTTCCAGACCTCCTCATCAACTACCATCCACCACTCCGAGGCGAGGTTGCGTTTTCTTTGTCTAACTGGCCTGACTAAAGGGTCTACATTTAATTTGTGAGTAATCACGCTAGGGTCGATGTTGGACATTTCTATCGTAGACCAAGTGAAAACATCTAAACTATTAAGTAAGAAACCTACTAGCTGTGTTCGGAGTGATTCTCTTATCAGAGCGCCGATCTAGAGGGACTTCATCGGCTCGGTTTTGGAAACCGGTACATAGACTGCTTCCTCCATCGAGACAGCTTGCTCCTTGGTGTAGTCTACTGGTTGCTCCAGTTGGACGTCATCCGCCAATTTCGCCTTGCCCTTCAATGTAGCCACATAGCACTTATGAGACTCGAGTTGATCACCTCGTACTATCCCTACTCTGTAGCTCGTCGAGAACATCATCGCTAGGTAATATGTTGATACTATTGCATGTAAGGCATGCTGGATGGACCGACCTATGATCACGTTGTAGGGGGATGGAGTTGCGACCACCAAGAATGTATGCTCGAATTGTACCAAGTTTGGCCACGTTCCTATTGCTACTAGTACTGTAACTCGACTAAGGAGTCTGACCTCTTCGCCGCTGAACCCCACCAAGGGTGTATCGGTTGGTTTTAGGTCACCCTACTTCAGATATAGCTTGTCGAAGGTCCCTTTGAATAGAATATCGACCGAACTCCCGAGGTCCACCAAGATCCTCTTTACTTCGAAATCATTAATGTTGAGCTTAACAATAAGAGCATATCATGAGGATACTGTATCCCATGAGCATTGTCCTCAGTGAAGTAAATGGGCCCTTCCACCTGAGGTCGCTTCGAGGGATTCTCTACTTCCTGCTCCAGTTCTCTGATCGAGGTCTTCCCCGCTATAATTGATTCACCAGTAGTCATATTGATCACCCCGTGGATTAGTCTTTCTTTTGGCGGCTACTGCCGAGGTGGCTGTTCGTTCTACCTGCTTGACTCCAAAGCGTCCCTCCTATGATCAGTTTGTCGGTCCCCCTGCTCCCTCCCCTCACGCAAGATATATTTGTTTAGATACTTGCGGTGAATGAGCTCCTTGATTTCGATGCAGAGATTCCAACAATTCTTAGTATTGTGAGTGATATATTTGTTCAGATACTTGCAGTGAATGAGCTCCTTGATTTCGATGCAGAGATTCCAACAATTCTTAGTATTGTGACTGTGGTCCCAATGAAAATGACAATAGACGTTTAGGTTCCTAGTCGTCGGGTCTCCCTACAGCTTGGGTGGCCACTTGATGAAGGAAGAGTCCATAATCATTAGCAAGATTTCTCCTCGCTTCGCGCTGAGGGGGGTATAGGTCGTTCTCTCCACAGGAGAAGTCTTGGATCGTTGACCTGACCTATAACTCCGAGAGGGGGACTTACTTCTCGAGCGAGGTGACTTACTTCTCCTTGGCGATTTTCTCTTCTTTCTCTTGTGCTTGCTACTGCTTGTTCCTTCTTGTCTTTTCCTTTTCTTGCCCTGTTGGCTTTCTAGTTTTCGGCCGAGCTCTTCTTCCGTGATGGTCTTCGGACGATTTACTCCAACGTACCATGCAACCTCCTTGTGTGTAACTCCCTTCCGTGCTGTAGTGAGGTGCACTGCTAGGTTGAGATCCGGTATCTGCAGGCACGTTTCATTGAATCACTTGATGTATCTTCTGATTGACTCATTCTCCCTCTGTACCATGTTCAGAAGTCTCTCTTGTCACTTCGGACACTTCTTACTAGTGATGAAATGGGTCATGGACATATCTATGAACTGAGCCCAACTCTTGATCGAGCCCAGTGCGGTGTTTCGGTACCATGTCCTGGCTAATCCCTTGAAGGTAGTGGAGAAGGCCATGCACATGCATGCTTCGTCTGCTCCAGCTAGATGCATCTGGGATTGGAATGTGTCTACATGGTCGTTGGGGTCAAAACTTCCGTCGAACTTTTCTAAAGAAGGTACCTTGAAGTCCTTTGGCATTGAAGCTGCTAGTCCTCGTGTGCTGGATGACTTCAGGCCTATCTTTAGGGTTCCCTCTCTGAGAAGGTTGGGGTGTACGCTGATCGTCAATTCTACCCCGAGGTGGGGTCCAGTCCAAGGGAGGGACCGGGACCTAAGAGTTTCCCACACTCTGAGGAGGAGATCAGTGTACACCCTAGTGTTGTTGCTGATGATGAACCCGGTGCTAGTTCTAGTTATGATTTTGGTTTTGACCCTAGTTTTGATATTGACCTGGTTGCTGGTTCGGCTGTAGTGGTGGAAACTGCTGCTGGTAGTGTTGGTGGAAATAATATTATTGTAATTGCCGGAATTGATGTATTTGCTGCATCTGAATCTGCATAGTTTAGACGCTCTGGACTAGGTTGTCGAATTGGTGGTGCCCGACCCCAGGAGGAATCATCAAGGGCTCTGGAACGAAAAAAGTGGTGCTCACCTAGGGTAGTGAGACGTTCAGCTGTTGATTCGTTTGTTACGTCGATACAGTTGGGATCCCCAAGGCACTAAGGGGAATAGTGAACTATCCAATGGTCATTGAGGAGCCTTGTGGGAATGCTGTTGTGTGGTCTTGCCCCCTAGTAATGGTCATATCGATGCCCTTGTCGATGTTGCTTGAGGATGCCATCAAAGAGAATAAGGTGATGAATGAGATGCAAGGTTGACCTTTTGATCATTTCCCATAGACGGCGCCAATTGATCGTGTGTGATCTGGATGCTCCTAGCTGTAGGGAAGCTCGGGCATCTGTTGACAAGTGGATCGCTCGAACTGCAAGACAAATGGATCAAAGAACTCGGGGTGGCTGACCCGACGAGGTTGCTTCGATGCTTAAGTTAGTACTCAGTAAATAGATGCAAGCTGGAATTCAGTACAGTAGAGAGCTAGAATGCACTTAATCGCGCATACATTTCGCTATGGGGTGAGTGCCCTTATATAGTTGAGTTGTTGTGGTCCTCACAAAGCCTTTTTGAGATCTTCGGGCTGAAAAAGTAGGAGTCTGTCCCACACCGATAGGTGGATAACGTGCTAACTGATAATGCTTATCGTGTCCATCCGATTCGGGCGGGATGTGGATAAGGCCTATAGTTCCGCAATTTGACCCCGAAAGACTCGGAGATAGTAGGCAAGCTTCTAGGATCTGTTACGTGTCATCTCGACATACGTGGGTACCGAGGTGCCTCGGCTCCGATGGCCCCCAAAGTGGTTGGGCACCCGAGGTCTCCCGATCTGCTGATGCGGCACCCGATGCTGGCAAGTCGCGTCCACATGTCCTCTATTCATCAGGTCGGGCCAAATCACCCCTCATTAAGTTCGATGTTGGAATGTCTACATCAATTCATGGTTTTTAGGGGAAATTCCTTATTAGGATCATGTACTTTGGATCTAGTGTTATTTTGGTCTCCAAACTTTAAAATGTGATAATCCAATATCCAAATTAAAAGACATAAATGTCCTGGAGTGTTATCTAATTTTCTTTATCAACCATTCAAATATTGACAAAAAATGAATAGTCAGAAATCATTTTTTTCTATTCAATAAAATTGGGGTCACTGTTCATTTTTACTCAACGTTTGAATGGTTAATAAAGAAAATTAGATAATACTCGAAAGGCATTTGTATCTTTTTAAATGTCATTTAACGGCAAATACTGAATTAATACATTTTAAAAGTTCAGATATTGGATTTTTGCATTTTAAAGTTCGGGAAACAAAGTGGCATTAGGCGTATTAAGGTAGTAATCGAAAATTTCCCCTTTTTGAAACCATTATTGATTGGACTGTTCGACCCGGTAACCGATTAACGGTTGGGTTTCATTTTATACTTAACTCAAATTTTGACTTTAGAAAACCACTGAACCACTACTGTTTGATCTGATGAACAACTCGAGTCACTTTTTTATTTTAATTAATTTTTTTATTTTTATTTTCAAAATGTCATGAATTGATTCTGATCAAACCGCTGACCCAGAAAATGGTGGCTAAAGCGGTTCTATTTCTGCATGGATTTTTGAAATATTGGTTCAATTTGGATTCGAGTCTTCAGGTGCCCCACTACCCTAATACAACTGGTGGCCTCATCATCGATTCCACCACTTCCCCAGAATAGCTATTGTGTTTGAATGCGCATCTCTCACAACGTTCCAACATGATATGTATACGCACATCTCATGTATGATGATGGGTTCCAGTCTTACGGTGAGATGTGCGGACACAGATGATGATGAACGCATTGGGACGGTTTTTTGTTGGGAGGGATCCCAAATTCTATTTCCCAGGTCAATGCGTTCATCTAATCCCGGGTTTTGGGTTTGGATATTTTTGTTGTAGTTGACCACACGAAAACCCGGCCCACATTATGTTTTCCTTCCCGTTCTGATCTTAGAAGAACATGTAGTTGATTACTGCGATATACTGTGACGACTTGTTTTCGGAGCTTGAAGAAATCTTCAAGTGCCAATGGTGTCTCTGTAATTACTTTGGTTGTTTGCAACATCTTACCAGGTAATTTGGAATCCCATTTTTAATTTCTTTTTTACCTTTTAGTTCGTATTTTTTGTAAGAGAATCAGCACCAGAGATCGACTCTGTTGATGGTCTGCATGATCCTTTTGTTCTCTCTATCAATTTGTTGTTCCAATTGGATCCATTAGTTGGGGTTTTGCTTATTTCTTCTCCTTTTGATTTAGATGTTTTGAATTTCTTTCTCATATATATTCCTTCTCTTAATTGAAGTCGCCCACATGCATTTCATAATCTAGGTTTTGTGCATATTTTGTATTTTTGAAGCTTCAGATGGTCTTGCGGATATGGAGCGTTCTACAAATTTTTGCCTTGAAAATCCTTCATTCAGTTTTCCAAATTTCTTTGGTTTGGAAATGTTTATCTGGGAGTTTGGTGGATTTTAATATAAAACCTTAGATTCTTAATGCTTTTAAGGAGGCCCATCAATTTTTAAATTTTCTTCTTCACCCTTTGTTCACTCTGAACATGTTTGAAAATTGAGGCTTGGGTTGGCATTCTGAATGCAGTACTCTTTGTAGATTGCTGACTGACTTTCTTGCTTCCCTCTTTTCCATGAATTCCTTTCTGCAGATTCTGATGATGTTTGACCATTGAACTGGTCTGGTGAAGAAGCGTAGCAAAATGGTGTTGGTCTTAGCCCTAGGGGATCTTCATATCCCTCACAGGGCACCTGATCTGCCTGCGAAATTCAAGTCTATGCTTGTCCCCGGCAAAATACAGCACATAATATGCACTGGAAATCTTTGTATCAAAGTATGTGCTCTTTATGACCCTTCTTTTTTTTGGTTTCTTTCTAGTATTTTTATTTTATATTTTATATTCACTTAGGAATTGGTATTCCTTATTTTCTTAATCAATTAATTTTCTCCTTTTCTTGTATATTAGAATCAGTGAGTTCTCCACTTCACCTTAATAATGAGATGCAGTAAACTGGTTATAAAGTTATTAATTTGATTGGTTATCTCCTGCTGCTGCATACAATATTACAATCTCATTCACTCTTTCAGTTACAGGATTTAGAACATAATCAATAACTAGGGTGAGTACTGACTTGGATTTTTGTTTATGTTATGGTAGAAATAATGCATTTAGAACAGTAAGTACTTACTCATAATTTTTTCTAATTTTATAATTCTAACATACTATTAGGAATACACTATTTAAAAATACATTCCACAAGAATGGGGAATAATCTGTATTGCATGGACACAGTGTGTGTCTAGGAATCTGATTTTGCAAGATGAAAAGAAAAAACAGATTTGGGGACACATTTTAGGTTGGTATTACTATTAAAAGATTTCCATAATCTGTGAATTCTATCACCACCATACTTATAGAAGATAGCATGATTAAATATGAACTCTAATGTTTTTCACCTCAAAACATTCTATAAAAGAAGGTATTTATCCAAAAAAAAAACATTCTATAAAAGAAGGTGAAATTTGTATTGTATAATAGATGTTTATTTAAGTCAAAGAGGAAAGGAAACATAGGAAAACCATATGTAGATGTGTCTAGAGGTGTAATTGAATTGAGCTTTAATCCAACAGTTTGGATTCGAGTTTGATTAGGCTTAACTCGAGTTTGGTTCTAATCAAGTTTGAACCTCAGGGTAAGTTTGATTAGTTATTTGAACTCAACTTCAACCAATAAAAAGTTCTGCTTGGAAGCTGACGAGCTTGGCTTGATTAATACAATATAATGTGTGTATATATATATATTATAATAAATATAAATATATTACAATAAATATAAATATACGAATATATTATAGAATATAAAATATTTTATAGAATTATATTATATATTTATAAAATATAAAAATATTAGTTTTTTGAACTCTTGAGCCAAACTCGTACTCGGACATAGTAGTATTTAGTTGAACTGAGTGAAGACATGCCAAAGTTCAGCTTCGCTCGGCTTGCTTACACCCCTAAAAGTGTCTCCTTGGGAACCTGTGGACTGCTGGAATCTGATACATGCTCAAACACAGAAAATCATAATCATCATCATTCAAGCCTTATCCCAATTATATGGATTGGCTACATGAATCCTGTTTTGCCATTCTGTTCTGCTTATGTGCATGCCAAAACACAGATGCTTTGTTAAATTAGAGCAGTGCATGTAACACTGATTAATGTATTATTGAAACAACACTAAAATTCTAATGGGCTGAAAATAACTAAAAGACAACCGTTCTGATTTGAATGGCAGTCATTGTTAATTAGTGTATTTGCATAGTTATGTGTTGTTCCTGGATGGTTATATAGTTTCATCTTTGGATAAATCATATGGGTTGGATAGTTATGATCACTTTATCACAATGAGATTTTGACATGGATGTACCATGTAAGGCTTCATCAATATTTTTTTTGTTTTTCTTCTTGCATTTGTCCCGAATTTATATATGATGGCATGATTCGAATTGTATTATTCTTAGAAGTCTGACTCTATCTCTCCTTTAGCCATTTGTTCAGCCAGATATTAAATGACTTCTTACTCAGATCTGTTTGTCAGAATACTGTAAGAGGCGACTTCTCTCCCAGGATTCTGTTTGTTGGATTCCAATAGGATTTAGTGTTCATCTCATATGTTGATGTTGCTCTGTTCTCCAAAGCTAGGCATTCCGTGATTTGTTTCATCTCTTATTTCTGTTGAAGTTTATTGTTTAAAGAGATTTGTGGTCTTTGCTTTCTTCTTCTTCATTGTTCTCTTAAATTAATGTTGAGACAATGTTTCTTCTTCATTCTTTTTCATCGTTCTCTTAAATTAATGTTGAGGCAAATAGGCAATATTGTTATCTATTAGAGGGTACCCAGGTGGTTTAGCTCTGTACATTTTTAAATATGCTTGGAATTAAATTATTACAACTTGTAATAGGAAAAGGATGAAGCTCCTTATTTTTCATGCAATACTATTTTCTGCCTCACTAAACCATGTGTTTTACTGTCTATTAAGTAATGGTTCTGTGATGCTTTTCATAAGCAGGAAGTCCATGACTACTTGAAGAGTCTTTGCCCTGATATGCATGTCACTCGAGGTGAATATGATGAAGATGCACGTTATCCAGAGACAAAAACACTTACCATTGGTCAATTCAAGCTTGGGTTATGTCATGGTCATCAGGTTTAGTGATCCTGTTGTCTCTATGTTAGCATTTGCTCTTCATCCAGTTACTCTTTGCATATTTTTGTAATTATATGAAATTCTCAAATAATCTGTGGCAGTGATTTAAAAGGCACGCCTAGGCACACAGGTGATGTGCATTTTAGGGTAGGTGCCTTGCCCAGGTCCTAGGCACAGTCCTTTCAAAAGGCGCACACCTGGTGCGCCTTGCACCTCAGCCCAGGTGTGCACCTTTTGAAAATTTGATGCTTTTTTGCTTTTTTTGTGTCTAGCGCCTTTTGAAAATTTGACGCTTCGAGAACCCCCTATTTGGTAATGTTGTTTATTCATCCATCCTAATAAAATATCTTCTTAAAAAGCAATTAAAACTATAAAATCATTATTTTTTTTGTGTGAGAACTAAGAACTTAAGACCTAACATGGACTTGTTTGGGCTTGCCTCGAGGGGCGTGGCACAAAGGCAGCTCGTAGAATCAGGAATGTATAATGTTTTACATCACATTAGCTACTTGAAGTTATGCAATTGAGAAAAAAAAGAGATTGTAGGTTTTGTATGTTTGATTTTACATGTTATATTTATGTATTTTAATTTTAGATGATAGTTTTTTTAAAACATTTATTTTAAAATTTAAGTCTATATTTTTATTAATATTATGATTAATATTTTTTTATTTTTTATTTTTTAATTTTTTGCTTGTTTTATTTTTTAGTTTTTTTTGTGCCTTGCTTAAAAAAGGTGTGCGCCTCACCTTGCGCCTCAGGTGCAAATTGACCCCCTGTGCCTTGCGCTTTTAAAACACTGATCTGTGGGAAGTTGTGATTATATTCTTTGATAACATCAATGCGAGAAAATGTATACATCCTTCTGCTGAAAGTCAACTCAAATACCTTAACCGCAGACCTACCATTACCTAAATTGTCAAACCTGTTTGTCTATACATTTGACAAGTAACAGATATTATCAGGATGCTGTGGAAATGATAGACATATATGTACCAGAATGAATATGTGAGCTTCTCTAACCAAAATTAGGATAAAAGTGTGGTGGGGGGACAACAAACAAGCTTGAAGGTAAATTACAACCTTGGGGAACACACAACCAACCTAGTCCTTAAGTGTTGTGCCATGATGATGATGATAATGATGATCAGCACTTATTCATCCTTTTATTAATTCCTAAGTTCACATACTCCAAGCATTCAGGGACAGGAATGCAGGAGACACACAAACAGTACCCAGCTTGCCAAAAAAAAAAAAACTCTGGTGCATTATTTTTTTCTGATAATTGTCTTGGCTTCTTAACTTGACACATTTTTAGTTTAAAAAAAAAAAAAAAAACTGAGCTAACTTCATGAGTTCTATGGGCATTGGAGCCTTTCACATCATAATCTGCAGAAGCACAAAATGTAAAATAGGGATTTTTTGTGCCTATGCTCGGTTTTACAATGGTGCTAGGTATTATCTTTTTGTGATTTGAGTGGTGCTCACCTCTGTTATACTAGCATCAGCCTTACCAACATTAACACAAAGAAAATGGATGAGCAAGTAAAAGATGAGAAAAGTTATAAAAGAGGTAGAACAATTTGCTGGGTTCCTCTCGAGGAGGGAAAACGTTAGGACAGAGCTCTTAGGAAGCAGTAGTTAACTTTTTAAGGTCAGAAATGTCATTAATGTTTTGTTATCATTTCCGTGACCCATTATAATCTTCATAAGATGCTCCCATTTACAGCCCTGTGGTTCCAGGGTTCATTGCCCAGCTCTATCCCCAGAATGGTTGAGTTTTCTAATACTAGTAGCCACCAGTTATTGCTTCTGGAAGCATACTGCATCCATCTTTGATTTTATATATTCTCCTTTTGTTCATCGATTGTTTTCTGTTTTGGCAATCTATAGGTTATCCCATGGGGGGACCTGGATTCTCTAGCCATGCTCCAGAGGCAATTGGATGTGGACATCCTCGTGACTGGTCATACACATCAGTTCAAGGCCTACAAACATGAAGGTGGCGTTGTTATAAACCCAGGATCTGCAACTGGTGCCTACAGCAGCATCACCTATGATGTCAACCCCAGCTTTGTTCTCATGGACATCGATGGCCTTCGAGTTGTGGTCTATGTTTATGAGCTCATTGATGGAGAGGTGAAGGTTGACAAGATTGACTTCAAAAAGACAGCGACAGCTCACTCTGCACACTGAAGGAAGCTCTTGGTGGTGGTACCAGGTGTTTGTTCTTCTGCAACTCTTTAGAGTAATCCAATCCATGCATTGTGTTAATTTAGGGATGTTGAACAAAGGTTTGTTGGTCATAAAAATTCAATTGGAGATCTCAGATTTATAGCTTTATGCACTAATAATTGTTTCAGTGTAGGTCCTTGATGTCATGTTTGTGGTGTATCATGTATGAGAGATGTAAAAATATTGTTTTGCAAATTTTTATGGTACATGATTAACTTTGACTTGACCCATGTACGTCAATTCAAAAGGCAAATTGAAATGTCCACGTGGCAAGTATTGTTCATGAAATCACCTATTTTCGATGTTCAGCAGGTGCGCTACCACAACCGTCATTTTTGGCTCTATTATTGGTGAGTGGTGACTTTTGTTCGTGATGTCTGTTTGATGCTTGTTATTATATCATTAGTTGAGTACTTGAGTATGCTATTGCTCAACAGCCAAATCCTATTCCATCCATCCCAACAATGCTTTATGTGTATTTAGAATTGAGACCCACCATCGAATGGCCCCCAACTAAAACAGTGACTATGCCAAAAATCAGCCTCTGCTTCCTAATTTTTGGCTTTGGCTGATCTTTTAGGTATGATTCATCCCATCCATACTGGTGGATGATTTAGTGAGCGTGCTCTCACTGAATAAATCGCGAATACCTTATTGTGTTCATGACTTGGTGATAAGAAGTCATACTAGTATACTACCAACCAAAAGCTTAAATCTTTTTAGGGATATTATCTAAAACTTATATCACTTTTTTACATTCCTCTTAAACCTATCCTGACTTTTGAAAACCTCTATAGAGCCTTTCTAGTAAATTTTATTTCCCAATGCAAATTTCTGATTTCCACTGTTATAAACATTTAAAATGTCAATAACCCACATTTTATGCACCAATGTCCACTTGTGAATTGGCATCAATTTCGACCTGGCACCTACCCGAACAGTATTTTGAGTCTATAAACTCTGAATCTGGGCTGAACCGTTATTCTCTCTAAATTTTATTGTTTAAAATTCACCTTTTCTTAAGATTTCTATTAGATTATTGCTAGTGATCATGTAAACATTTAAGTATTTTGCATGACCAAACTACCCTTGGACCCCTAGAGTATTAGGTTGAGAGCTGAGCCTAGGCCTGACCCAACAAGCATATGAGCAATTAGTAAGGTTGATCTGGCCATTTTAGGGTAGTTTGGTGATGTAAAATACTTAAATGCTTACGTGAACAACTTCTATTAATTGTCACTAACCGTGACGTAACTCTTAACAGAAGGTGAGTTTTGGACAATTAAATTCACTAACATGGGGCTCTCAAGAGACTTTAAAAAGTTATGCTGAGTTTAAGAGATGCAAAAAAGTAATGGTGAGTTTTAGATAATATCCCACCTTTTTATTATTTTAACTAGGCCTGCCCCCATAGTTCTTATAAGACTTCCTTGGCAATAATGAGTGTTGATTACTACCCAAAGGTTAAAACAACCACCTTTACAACCGCAAACAGGGGATTGGGAGGAGCATGCTATTCCTTCGCAAATAGTTTTCAATGGACAAAAATGCAACTTATATCAACAAAAAGGTAAATTCTAAGTTAGTACCCTGTACTTTAAGAGTAGTCTCAGTTTAGTACCCGAATTTCAAAATGTGTCATCGCAGTACCATAACTCTAAAAAACTATCAATTTAGTTCTGGCCATTAGTAGTCCATCAGTTGCTTTTAAAAATGTCAAAACTACCTTTCAAAAGAAGACATTGTTCATTGTCTTCTACCCTGAGACTAAGGATGAAAATCTCATACTTCTCAATAAAATATCAAGTATTTTCTGGCATTATATTTCATCATTGTCAGAATCCTGTCACTCCAAAATTTGCCAACAAATCTCGTCTCCAAAATTTGCTGACGAATCAAAATTTGCCAACAAATCTCGTTTCGGGCCTTTCCGCGCGAGATTAAAACCCGAAAGACGTGGGAAGCTTTATTTGGAGCTTTCCGAAATCAGCCCAAAATGGGCTTCACACATCTTTTTGGTGTCCTGTCATTTGGCGGCTAGATCTTCTGTGTGCCAAAAGGAAATAGACCGCTTTTCAGTCTTCCCGGCTTGTAAACAACTGAAAAATTGTACGGAAACACGTGCCAATAAGTAAAGGTAGTAGGGTGAGGAATCTCCTTAATCCACTTCTTAACTTGAAAAATAACAAATTTAGAGAAAGAAATTTCCCATCCCATCTTTTTCTGTTTCATTCTTTCCAAATTTTCCAACAAATGACAAGAGGACAAATAGCTACAATGAAATTAAAATAGGAATTCTTTGATCAAGAAACTAAATACCACCTTTGAAACCTTAATAAAATTCGAATCAAACCCCCAAGGTTGTGCTAAAGAAATTCCGCACCTTTCTTGCTAACACACCATGAATAAATAGAATGGAAATAACTTCGAAAGAAGAATATGCACCATCAAGCTTTACTAATAGAAGGAAAAAAGTATAAATACATCAAATAAAGAATAATTCAAAAATAAATAGAAGAATAGTATTAAAATCCCAAACAAATCAAGGAAATAACTCTAGAAGACTAATATGCATCATCATCATTCTTTACTAATAGAAGAAAAAAAAGTATAAATACACCAAAAGAAAACACAGTTCAAAGATAAATAGAAGAACAACAACATATTACAAAAAGCACACGATTAGAGTTAAAAGCTACCCAATGCTTGACAGAAATAGAAATAATCATGCTTTACTCATATCTCTAAGCAGACCTGTGAAATAGGTAAACTAGGCAGACCATCAGTTCAAATGATACAACCACAAAAACAAAGAAAAGAAATGTAATAAAAAAATAAGGCATCGAACCTCTAGTGGTGCAAAGCATAAAGAAAAACAATGGAAACACAGAAAGAAGACACAAGAGGAGAGATAAAAAGAAAATAAGTAATGACGTACAATATATATAATGTTTGTCAACTGCCAAAACATGAGAAATTGAAAGTCAAGGATTTCCATTTAGATTACAAGCATCAGAATATAGAGAAAAACAAAGGAAAGAAACAAAATATATTTCTAAATAATCTATTTGCATTAATTGCGATCACAAAACAACACTAAAACAAATTAAAACCAGAATGTACAAAACCCGAAATTGAGGAGAGATATTACCTATGCAAATACGACCAAAAAATTCCAATGACTAGAAAAATAAGAAAAACTCTAATATTGTAGAAATTTCCTCAAGAAAGAATGGTCCTATCTCTTGAGATGCACATGTGACTAGGTGTATGGAATGAGGAATGAAAGAGAGTCTTACATTGGAAAGACACAAGAAGTGCAAAGGACTTATATATTAAGAGTGACCCATAACCGAATAGCTTAGGCTTTTGGGTTGCAAGTGGTGTTCATTTATTGTGTACAAGTCTTATATGCATGTATGTGTACGAAGCCCCCGGTTTTAGCAACTCCTCATGGTCTGTGACCCCCATCGAGGCCCAACAGTGGCATCAGAGCCATGTTGGCTGAAATTAATTGTTTGTGTTGATATAAATTGAGGAATCCTCAGGTGTTATGATAAAATTAACCTCATCGAACTATACCATTTGGAAACCCAGAATTGAGGACATTCTTTATTGCAAAGATTTGTGCCTACCCATAGGAGGAGAAGCCAATTGACAAGTCAAGTGATGAACCATAGTATTTTTTGCCATGTTGCACAAGAAACTAAGGCTAATGTTTTATGAAAAAAAATTAGAGTCTATGTATGAAAGGAAAACGGGTTTAAACAATGTTGTCTTGATTAGAAAACTTGCACACTTGAGATGTAAAGATGGATGATGAAGTGCAAGCCTTGTTGTTACTTAGTTCCTTGCCTGACAGTTGGGAAACCTTGGTGCTTTTCAGTCAGTAATTCAGCCCCTAACGGCATAGTAACCATTGACACAGTCAAAAATGCCTTGTTGAATGAAGAGTTCAGGAGGAAATAACAAGGGACTTACTTAGAATCTCAAGCTCTTGTGGTAGAAAAGAAAGAAAGACATGGAAGAAGTAAGAGCAGAGGTCCCCGTAACAAATATGACAAATCTAGAGGAAGATCCAGGTCCAAGAAAAATATTATTTGTCATCACTGTAATAAACCAAGACATTACAAGAATGAATGCAAGATCTGGAAAAGAAAACAAGCCAAAGGAAAAAGGTGAAGGTAAGAAAGAAGAAAGAGATACTATAGTTGTTGCAGCTGAGGGTGATGTCATTATTGTTTGTGATGATAGTTATGTCAATTTTGCATGTCTAGACAATGATTGGGTTATAGATTCAGGTGCTTCTTTTCATGTTACTCCCCATGGTGAATTTTTCACATCTTACATTACACGTGATTTTGGACATGTTCGTATGGGGAATGTTGGTGCATCCAAAATTGTTGGCATGAGAGATATTTGTCTAAATAGCAATACTGATTGCAAATTAATTTTGAAGAATGTTAAACATGTTCCTGATACCCACTTAAATCTTATTTCCACTGTCAGGTTAGATGATGAAGGTTATGCAAACACATTCAATGAAGGAAAATGGAAGCTTAGTCGGGGTTCACTCATTGTGGCAAAGGGAAAGAAAAACAATACCCTTTATGTGATGCAAGCAAGGTTGAGCAAATGAGAGGTGAATACAGTTCATGATTCATCCATTGAGCTCTGGCACCAGAGGCTTAGACATTTGAGTGAAAAAGGGCTTCGGATACTTTTTAGAGAAAATCTTCTTCCCGATGTAAAATGTATGCTTATTGAAACATGTTTATATTGCTTAGCTGGCAAACAAAATAGAGTTGCATTTCATAAATCTCCTCCATCTAGAAAGCCTCATGTTTTAGACGTAGTTTGCACTAATGTTTGTTACATGAAAGATAGATCACTTGGTGGTGGATTATATTTTGTGACATTTATTGATGACCACTCTAGAAAAGTGTGGACATTTGCCTTGAAATCTAAGGATCAAGTGTTGGATGTTTTCAAATATTTTCATGCCAAAGTTGAAAGAGAAATGGGAAAAAAGTTGAACTGCATCCGAACTGATAATGGTGGTGAATATAGGGGTCCTTTTGAAGAATGTTGTAGGATCCATGGTATCAGGCTTGAGAAAAGTGTACCTAAGACTCCTCAACACAATGAAGTATCAGAGAGAATGAATAGAACAATCACTAACAGAATCAGATGCAAGTTCTCTCATGCTAAATTACCTAAATCCTTTTGGGGTGAGGATATGAGAATTGCAGTTGACCTCATCAACCTTTATCCTTCAGTTCCTTTGA